GGAACTTGTTTTTTTTTTTTTTTTTTTTTTTTTTTTTTTTTTTTTTTTGTCTCACGTCAATTCTAGCTTCAAAAATTCAATGTGAAATGTTTTTTTTTTTTCTACAGCTCAATGCTGAAGCAGATAATCATCACAGTATAAAGTTAATGGACAATTTTGTTTTGTATTAAATTGTCACATTTTATGGTATATCTCTATTTTTAATATTCTCTTGTCAAAAACAAATTCATGTACTTGTGAATATGATAACACCATTTAGTACCGATCAAGTTATAGTTGCATCTTCAACATTCCATATACATTTCAGAGGCAAACATTAGATTTGATTGGCTGATGGAACCATGCAAAAATTTGTTGCATCCCATGTCATGTACTGAATAGACCACTCCACACAACAAGAGATGGGGTAAGGGGCTCAGGAGTGACCTCAGTCATGTACCAGAGAGAACAAAAGCTATAAATATGCTATTCAATTCTAAAAGAAGTATTTGAATAAAATATTGACTATGGTCATGTACCCAAAAAGGCCACGAAACCTAATATACAGGGGCGTATCCAGGATTAGGATCCATGTAAGCATCCAACAAAGGCAAAAAGTTTTAAAAAAATATGCTTATTTTGCATAGCCATAGGTTGTATTTTTGTATTATATTATTCCTAATGATGCTTAAATAAAAGCAAAGCATTGAATAATATGGCCTTGTCAATTTTTGGAGTGACACCTACTATCAGTATGACCATGTTTTGATGCTTGTCCTTCCTTAAAATCCAGTTGGTCGCCGTAATGTTGAATACAAAGCCCTTCCTTGTTAATTCTTGTTGTTTACTGTCTCTAAAAATAAACAATTTGTGAACTTCGGGTAAAATTAGACAACACCGTCCCTATAGAGAACTGCACAGAGGGCTGATTGGATCGTTGATTCGCAGCGTGAAGACTCACATGTTCCACAGAGAGATAGACGCTGCTTGCGTCATTGAAATTTATTGATAGACTCGCACAACAGTCGTTTTCAACAACAAAAAATTGGAAAATTTGAATATTTAATGCGCAAATTTTAACAATATTTTTTTTTCATGTGTGCGACGTGAAACAAAGAATTAATTTTGTTTGGCCTTAATGATGGAATAATGCATCCTGACTGAAGTTAATATATTTACTTAGAGTGTATCTTGTCATCTAATATACATTTAAATTTATTTTTTTTAATAGATTTTTATACTTTCTACATTTTTATATATTTAGGTCTGTGCTGTTGCCACTAAATGCGGAATTTCTGTAAAGAATCTGATCCACACCTTAAACTACTTACATGATCTTGGAATCATTCTGTACTTTGAGAACAACAGGCTACTGAAGCATACGGTGATAACAAACCCACGGAAGCTGATTGACATCTTGAAGAAAATTATCACTGTAGTGGAACCTCATGACAGCGAAAAGGTGAGTTAATAACAGTAGCGGCACCAGTGGGGGGGCAAGGGGCTTAAGCTCCCTCATCGAACAAGTCAAGCACCCCCCACCTGCCGAGCTCGTCGGGCAGTCTAACCAAAGAAATATTTCTAAATAAAGCCACAACATGTCTTTCGCGTCTCTACAAAATTTATATTTATTCTTTAGTTTTTTCAGAGATTTGTATGATTAAAAATATATCATATTTACGTACTTATACTGTATCAAAAGTCATTGTGATACTGGTTATTAAATTAGCGAACTTATCAATTAGCTAATATGTTTTTTAGAGACGCAAATGGCATTTTGTTATTTTAGCCTTGTGACGTCACTTCTCGAGGTAAACTATCGACAGTGACAAGTGGCTAAAATCTGGTAAAACTTGCTTTCTTTCCTTAAATCCCACTTGTTGCACGACGCAACATCAAGATATCTTTTCAATATATAAAGGAATTATGGTTTGAGTTTCGTAGAGGTAAAAGTTTATACCATGGTTATGGTGATTTTTGACTGGACTAGTACGATAATAAGTCAAGTAGGGCAAACGTCATTTTGATTAAATCTCTCAAATAGCATTGCAGTACCCGCTGACTTGAAGATCTGATTCAACACTAGTCACTGAGCACACTCTTAGTGGTCTAGTGGTTATGACACCATGCTATTATCTGGAGGTCGTGGGTTCAATTCCAACACGAATCACTGGAGACATTTTTTTGCAAGTATTGTACAATCCAAATTCTGTCTCTTATACACATCTAGATGTGTATAAGAGACAGAACTTAATATACAGTGCAATCAATCCTAATAAGAATCTATTAAAAATTAAATTAATGTAAATTTTATTAAAAGGCAAAGAAATGCAAACTTAAATGGTGACTTATTCCATCTTTTCATTGTAAAATGAAATTCATCAAATTATTTTTGAAAAAAAAAAAGAGTTTAAATTATTTTAAAAGTGTTAATCTTACTTTACCTTACATGCCATTTAGATTGCAAAACTTTGATTATTTAAAAAGCTGGTAACTCTAATATGTATATTTTTCTGTTATTTTCTATCTTTTTTTTTTAATTCATTTGTTTTTTCTCAAGAATCAGGAAAGCAAACATCGCTCATTTTTTGTACCCTGTCGATTGAAACGTAGCAAAGACAATGTGTCTATTCAACTTGATACAGCTCAGATGGTATCTATCTATATGGCCTCCGAGGATTTCATCCCTGATAGTGTCTTCCATCCTCTAGTTGTGAGCTTGATTGGAATGGTACAAGACATGGGCTACACAGCCATGCTGCAATTATTTAGCAACTATGCTAACATCCGCCTAGGACGTGAACACACTCTCAGCTTAGGACCAGTAGTCATTAATAACAAGCCCTCATTGAAGGTAAGATGATAAGTGATGTCATTTATTTACTATTGGAGTGATAGGTAATGAAATTCAAAATAAAAAATCAAAATCAATCACAACAAGAGTGATTATGTTAATAATACAGTAGTATTTTTCTATGACTGATTTTCATTTTACATTCTTTTACGTTTTTTTTAAATTGTTGTATTGAATGAATAAAAACATTTTTTAACAGTAATACCTGAGAGATAAGCAAATAAGGGATAATGCTTCTTGCTTTATTCCTACAATAGGCACATGGCCAAGGCACTGCCCACAAAAAAAATAAAAAAAATAAAAAGAGGTTACTCCAAAACAGCTGTTTTCCTATATAAATTCCATGTACCATGGCCAAGCATATCTAAACAAAAATCTCAAACACCATCCTGACTTCTCTCCCTGCTCAGAGCTTTCCATTTTGCATTGCCCTACACAGAGGCCCTACACAGACTTTCTCTGGAGCCACCAGTGATTTACAATAAAAGTGGCCAAGTACAGTAGCTTGCAGTTGAATTACAATAAATGTAAATAAAAGATTAGATTGTTCACTTACTATTATAATATACATTGTATAAATATATTTTCTGGCATGCATGATTGAATTATTAATTGATTTTATGTTTATATTTTAGCTGGAAATATTACGAATGCCTATCACTAAGGAGGATGGTACCAAGATATCAACGGGTGAACCCAGTCCTAGAGTCTGTATGCAGGTAATCTAGTTTGATAAATGAAATCTTGCAATTGAAATAGCAGCTGTAAAATTACACAGATCAATGGTGATGTTCTTTATTAGTGATATTACCTAGAGATCATAGACATAAGTAGATTTATTATCTATTTGTATTTTTAATTCTTTAATTGTTTGACTATAGTATACTTGGAGTTTATCAGCTACTATAGTAAACTTGGAGTTTATTAAGTATTTATACCGAATAAATAAAAAAATTTAAAAAAACAAATTTATCCAGGTACAGGTGTATGAGAGATATCCTTACTACTGTCCTTGGGTGATTATACTATAGATATAAGTACAATCCAAATTCATTAAAATAATTGTATTTGTTAGCAATTTTTAATATACAAGTACGCTCTTTTGTGATCCGAACAGCTAATGCATTTTCTGTTTTCTTGTTTTCATATTTTATTGGAACTTTATTTAATGAGAATGGCCTTTGGAGCTCACCATTAATCATTAATTGTACTTATAATTTTTAAAAATAATAATAATAATTTTGATAATAAAGTAAAAAATTCTGCTAAGTATGACGAAATGACGGTAACGATATAAATAGCAATAATTCTGGTAGCAAAAAATAATAGCACTATTGTATCATCATCAAATCAATTAAACCATATAAAATCTTAACAATTCAAAACCTGAAACCATAAAGCGTTTTTGCTGGTGCGTTTCTAGTGGCATTATTTTTTTTCCTTAAAGTTTTGTTTGAAAAATTGTGGATCCATCCCTGCGTATTGTCTGTTAAATTGTTGTATTTTATCATTGGGCATATTAAGTCAATTAAATCATAATATCTAACAATTTAAACTGTGAAACCAATGCTTCTCTTATATTACATACAATTTTTTTTCTAAATTTTTTTTGTAATGTTTTCAATTTTAAATTATTTTAAAAATCCACATTCAAGGTGTTAGATTTTCTGAAGAAAGAGATGAAAGTGCTGACATACGGAATGAAGCACACACGTTATAAGTTCCGTGTCCTGTGCTGGACAAACTTGCCAGAAATGCACTTCCACGATTTGGAGGAGTGCCTGGAAAATGACTGTATTCCATGTGGAAAGGAATTGATAACCACAGGCAAACTTCAAAGGATGTTCAAGAATAAGCAACAAGTGACAGGTAAATAACAAAAACTGGGAAGGAAAACTTGTGAAACCAGATAACATTTTGCTATACCTCATAAAAATGTTTATAGGTAATACAGGTAACAACATTCCATTGATCAATTTCACTCAGTTCATGGTGTAGTAGCTTGGACTATAATTATACAGGTGATGGTAAATAGCCAAACCAGTAGCTTCTTCTGTGTGTGTGGAGGGGGGTTCAGTAATGAGAATAATGTTCTAGCTAATCTAATATTATTTTTGGTTTTCAAATACTGTATTTCAAAAGATGGTGGGTGACAAGACAGACGACTGTACCCAACATCATATAAACTTATGTCATATATAATACAAGAGTGACTTTTTATTCCTTCAAACCCATGTGTTCCCCGCTTTTGCATCGCGCGCGTGCGTATTACCCTATAATTCACACTTTTTCGTTAGCAACAACTTGGCAACGACATGCATTTATACGCTTTCAGCAGAGCAGTTGTGCAATAAAGCGTTTGATTTTA